CATCAGAGCTCTCAATTTATGCCCCAGATGATACACCAACGTTAGGTTTAGAAATCACTTGCTTCTGATTTATGTTCGATAAAAAAAAAATCACTCAATTGAGGGGCTAAATTAACAGCCATTTCTGTGGCTGGTAAGGCCTTTCACCACAAAGAATAAACCGTATTTTAGAAACATGAAAAGGTATGCAATGACCTTTCTTTTTGACATAAATCATAAGATTCTTACCTGCACATCTAATTTTTTTTTTAAAAACAAGACGACACTAGAAAATTGATGCAAATACAAGTGAATTTTTTTCCCTCTCACTCACCTGGAAGCATCTGAGGCAATACGTGGCCAAAGGAATGGATTTAACCTTACATCGCACACATTCCCACTTATCTGCCACAGGCTCTGTCTCGTCACTGTCACTGTCCGAATCCAAGTTTGAACTAGAACTATCAGCCCAAAAGTCTCTATCTTCACGGGGGTGGACAGCCTTTGACATAGTTTTTGCGGTAGCAGTATACAGCATATCCTGTTCAACAACAATATAAATCAATTTAAGGACAAAACCACACTAAAAAGCAGACTACCAAAATTTGTTTCAAGATTTCCTTCACCTTGAAAATTACTTACCTCTTTCCTTTGCAAGACAAAAATATTGCAAGTTAATACAAAACCTATATCTGTGTGTTTCTGAGGAGGTACTCCTGAATTACATCGTTATGCTTTGGAAACTTAGCAATGTGTTCCAGAGGAATAGGATGATGTTAAAATGATTCTCACTAATAATTTGAGAAATTGTAAACATCTTTTTATTCTATAACATCAAGAGGATATTCCTTTGCGTATATTCTACCCCCTCCTAAACCCTCCACCACCACATAAGATTCACGAGACTACATGACGTCCTGAATTATCTTTCTTGTTTTTCTCAACGATAAGTATATTGTATTTTTGAGATCCACTCAACATTTTCAGAGGAAACCTTTACTACAAGAATAATTTTCTGTGAAACTCTCAGAAACGACACAGCATCACCCGGACAGCAAGAAGTCATCATCTCTAGCAAGCAGAAGACTATGTGAACATGGGTAAGGTGTTTCCCAAATTGATTTTGATTTGTGTGTGCTCTCGATTGGTGTGTGCCCCAATTAAATTCATTATTAAAGAAATTCATGTTGTATTCTACTATTCATATAGTGAATTACATAGGTTTGAAATTGTTCCTAGTTTTTGACAATTAGCACCTGCATTATATATTCATGAATAAAAACCTACAGAATATTTATGGTACTGCACTAAAGGGTTTCTTAGAAATAAAAATCTCTTGAAAGCAAAATCTTCAACAGATTTCCTACTCCCATTTAATTTAGGAATGGATGGAAGAGAAGGAAACAAGAACCTACTACACAACAGACTAGACACTATATCACACACACATTAAAAGTGAGTTCGTCAAGAGTCATTTCGTGTTTGATTTCTTTATAAACCTGTTTATCGAAGTCTTCACCAATTAAACAACCCTCTAGTCAAAGAAACTTCTACCCTAATAATATTAAACCTGTCTCAAAAACTGGCTAAAAACTGGAATTAAAATTCTATTGCTAACCTCAACACAGGACTTGCAAAACTTCAATACAAAACAGCAGACAGACAAATCATCACTAAAATTAGCCATTCCCAAGACAACAAATATTGACATATACAACAATATCATGTCCATGGGAACAATTTATATCATTGTATATACGCCAGCATGCAATATATATTTTTTTGGTTTACCTATACAACAACAAACAGTCAATCCTAAGAATTTTTACTAAGAAGTTATACTTTAGAAATATATTAAATCCAAAGTAATTATAGATCAACATTCTGAAAACAAGACCTAACATCACTCTCAGATTGAATTTCTGAACAGTCATGTTAAACTAGCTTATTTATATTACAATGAGTTGTATTTTCTTCAGTTATTACAACAAAAATCGTATGTAAAGAAACTGAATACATACTTCAACTGGATTGCAATCTATTATTTAACAAACTAAATCTTCCTCCCAACAAGACAATACAGATTTTTGTTAGAGAAATTTGCAATGAATGTGTCTATATTGTCAATATTCCTTATGTTTCACAATAACAAGAAAACCACTAACAAGAAAGCTGACAAGTTAAATTAAACAGAATGTAAATTACATAACATTACATTGACAAAAGATACCCAGAGTCATTCCGTATTAGTTAATCACAGCCTAGGATGTACCAATGATAAGCATCCAGAAGTTCCAATAGCTTTGCTTCTTCAGCAGTTTTGATATCCTTCCTAATTAGTGTAGTATTGGTGAATATAGTAAAATGTGTTTATTAAAGGTGTAGCACACCAGTTTTGCATTTCAGCACACAATGCATTATACCTCTGGAAAGTGTGTAACTTCACTGCAGCAAATCATCTCCTGCAACTGTATCAATCATGACTATCTCACATTAAGTAATAATAGATCTAGCAAGATCTATTCAATTAGATCTACAAGACAGTTTTGACATAGAATCATTCGGCAAGGCAGGCTCAAAAACACGATAAAGATCAAAAATTACATGAAACTCTGAACATTCAACACTTCTAAGGTAAAATTCGACAAGCATGAAACAGAATTTAATTGAAAGCTAGTGATAGACTTCACAAAAAACTCCAAAAACTAAAAAAAAAAACTTTCTAGCAGTATGCATTGATAAGAATGCAGCTAAAAATTTCAAGATTAACTCGATATTTCGTATTTCTCCCTTTTGCACTTCAATAAATTGTTATTAACTAGTAGTTCCCAACACGACACTTATCTGTTTAATATTTTATATATGGTGTGTATATATATTACATATTTACACACACACACACTAATAAGCGACATTAAAGAGCTTTTACCTGTAATGAATTTTAAGTAACAGTGAAATTAACGATGATTTGCCAGTATTAGATTCACAATACATTATTGTAACATTAACTTGAGTAATGGATTAATTTAACAATTTGTAAATACATTTGAAGCATTAAACATCATTAAAATAACATTTTGTAATTTAAAAAAGTATAATCATAAGGAAGTACGCGAATCAGTGTGCACCACAAACTATTGCAAGAAATGAATTGATAATGCAAGGCTTCAATATTTTGAAATTTCAAATACATACTGGCAGTGCCATGTAAACCAATTGGGAACCACTGTGATAATTGATTATTATGCAACATTCACATTTAATCAACAGAAAATTACATATTAAGTACTATTCAATTAATAATATTGGAGAAAAAAGAATTAAATTTCAAGGGTTAAGACAACTGTATAAATTTGAAATAAATAACCTTAATTAAAACAAATGTATGTTTTTCTGGAACGTGAATAAAAGTAAAAATCAAATAGATGCTAACATCATTCTAGATTGAAATAACAATTGCTCCTTCTATTCTCAGGCGAATGGCATAGATGTAACCTCATATTCTTCAAATTCACATCCGTTGCTCTCAGATCAATCAGAACTTCGCAGGAAGTAGTGTTCACAACTCTTGTATCACTTAGCGTGTATAACTGATTTCACCTCTTAATAGGTGTGGTATACTAAGCTATCAACTAATTGTCTCTCTGTACAGAACGATATCGCTGACACTCTTGTAAGGAGCGTACTCAACACACGATACGGTGATATGCATGACTCGCATATATGTTTTTGTAGCCTGTGGAAGCGTTGGTGAACGTAAGACTTTACGGTTTCCCCGGGCCTGTTGGAACGCTACGACCATCTCATGTTTGTGCTTAGGATACTACTGATTGTTCGGTCGATGCAATTGCGGTGGGTAGAATCATAGTAACGTAGACGCTGAATTTTATTGTAAGGCCTCGGATGTATAGCTAAGAGAGACAGCTACTGAGCCCGTGTCTCTCTCTATGACAGATACTTCGCATGATGCGCTCGATCTGATTGCCTATTGCGCGCTGCTCGTCTCAAGCTGTTCGAATATTAAGTGCTGAACATACTCACAGTATCCAATCGTGTAATCTGGGAGTGACTAGAGAGTCGAGTTTTTTTGGAGACGCCGGCGTAGGTGTCTGTTGGGCGTTGTGCGAAGCGCTCCGGTTCGCCTCTCTGCATCATATTACCACAAGTAGACGTGTGAGAGTCAGCAGTGACATTGTTAGACGGAACTAGATAGCTATCTTTCCTTTATACAGGTGATGGTCACCGCTTCTAGCTGTTGTCGATAGATACGTGCATGCACCGTGAGCTGCTATAACGTAGTAGGCCGTGCAACCTTCTCTTAGTGCAATATAAGTGGGTTGAGACAAAGCTCGAGGTCTCGCTCACTATAACACCTTACGGCGGTAAGAGGGTGCTCGTGCGTGCCAGAGATATTATCGTACTGCGTCGTTCCGGGTTGGATCGAAAAATGTGTGGAGGATATCAGACAGTAGAGTGTCTTTTAAATGTACTCTTATTCAAATCTATACTTATAAAAAACTCTGATAATGCGGGGAATATAGACGTTAATGCTTTTGTAACATTATGGGCCTGCTTGCGACCCGCGAACTCAACACAGTGCCGCGTACGTTTAAAGTGATCGTTGGTAGCAGTTCATGTAAAGAAGGCGATGCAGCAGAGCTCGCCACCGTAATGGTCTCCACACGTTATATGGGAGTTATGGGCCTGCACTCACGCAACAGGCTCAATGGTTCCGCTTTAATACCATGCTTGCCAACCCGCTATCTCTGTGCGGAAGGCGGGAACAGGAAGAAACTTTTTAACTGGTCATTCACGCACGGTGTACTAAATTTTTTCACGTTGTTCCACGCTCGAATTCCTCACACTCTTTATAAATCACCATTTTTCTTAGGGGCGGATTGATAATATTTTTTACGGAAAATATAGGATTGAAAGTAGTGAGAAGTATGTTTTCCTATTTACTTTCTGGATCCGACTCACTTCAAAAATATTCCATTATTATATGGACAATATCCTATGCGTGCTAGTTAAACATTTTTCAAGCACAATCTTTTCCTACAGAAAAAATTAAACCGATACTATTTAAACCTAGAAAGCATTGTACTTTTATCGTATGTAAATATAGCTTTTGTAAACATAATTATTTAAATATTACAGGCTCCTACACCGTATGAAATTTTGTCGAGCAGACAGGCCAGTCAATAAGAAAAATTTCAACGAGTGGGGTGGAGGCAAGTTGTGCAACAGAATTTTACGAATATAAAGACGAAAATTCTACGAATTAAATTACGGATAAATTGTCAGAATAGTAAATCAAACACAAATTTTTTTTCGAAAATCGTAATGTAAGCGAATTTTGAAATAATTATGAGAATTCAACAAAAAGAAAAAGTAATTGGTTTTATGTAAATTGTAGAAATTGCATACCAAAAAATCATTTAAACCGGGTTTAAAAAACTTCCCAGCGGTTGCAGGTTGCAGCGAGATGCAGCAACTTTTTGTAAATTTGAACGTCATACTGTAGTATATAAGAAGAGTTGAAAAATTTGACGTAGAAATTGTTATGTATATACCATGCTCCTGAATCAGAGTTTTTCATTATTTTTTCACCTTCAATAATTAAAAAAATAATTCAGTAATTCCCTTGACTAAATTTCTTTTATTTAACTACGAGTTATATTTTGTAAAAAAACGAACTTTATTAAAAAATGGGGGAAATTCAAATGAATAAAATTTTAAATATTTTTCTTTTAACATAAACAATATTCCATAACATTTAAATCACTTGTTTTTTAAAAAGACATTAAACATAGAATTAGGATTGGGATCTATTATAACAATTTGTTGCCAAATTTCATTATCTGCTATTCTGTTTAGCACCCAACTTTACACTTAAGTGGAATTTTATTCCCATGATAATGCACAAATCATCATTATTTGTAAGACTTAATTGCTTTCAGACCCTGAGATAAATCTCAAATTAGCATCACACCAGGAAGTGAAAAGTCTTTTCATACAGGGATGAATTGGGTCTTTCCTCTTGGGTGGCAAACAAGCATACATTCTGTCAGTCTGAAATGTTTTGGTGGGATGTTGGTCTAAAAAGAATCGTGTGTTCTGTTTCCAACACATCTTCAGGACTTTGAGGTCAACCACCACGACTCCGCCCCTGCTGAGCTGTGTAATGAAGTTTCGGCAGAGAAGCCCGCTCTTCCAAGGAGAGCATCAAGTCCCTACATATTCTGAACAAATCATATGGTTGTTTCAAAATTTAAGCAATAATTTTACTCATTTATGCTTCATTTAAATATTTAGGCCTGCAAACAGAGTGGCAGCACAATAACTACACAGGAGCAGAATATTCAACTAAATACCAATCATAATTACTAGCATTAAATATGTAATTAGAGATAAGATGATTGTGTGGCATGTGATTCAGAAATTTGAAAATGGGTGAAATTTGAGCATTCATAAAAAATTATGAAATGTTTTCCTAACAAATTTATGCACAGAAGCACCTTGGCGAGGTTGCAGGGAAAGTGCCCAACCGTATTATAGGATTATTTACGCCAATGGGGTGAGTATGAGGAAAAGAGGGGGCTGTTTTTTGTGAGTAACCATGAAGTTCATGCTTGCCTGTGGCCTGCTCTGGCTTATAACCATACCATAAAAGTTTGCTCGTTATTTCACTACAAGTGAAAGACAGGAGATGTTTAAATTAACTGTGCAAAGAAGTAAACAAAAAGTATGGATTTTCTTGAACATTCTAAATTTAATCACCAAGGAACAAACCATTAGCCTGTATATTTAATTAAGTCTTAAGATTGGTCCAATTGTAATCTTACCAATAAAAAAAACAACACTCAAGGGTGTTTAATTTAAACCCACCTGAATGCAATCTGGCGCTTAGGACGCCAACTTGGGGAAAACTTCATTACCTATTTTATGGGATGTTCTGGGGTCGACATACGCTGAAGACGTTGGTTACCATCATCACGCAAGTTCTCTTAAAAAAATTATATTTTGAAATGTTTAAACTGCAGATTCCTGAAAGAAGTGTGGCAGCTGTTCATCCAAAAGTTTAAAAATGCCGGTCAGATTATCTTATTTATGGTTACTTTGGCATGGCAAAAGGCAAGAACAAAAATATCAGACTCTTATATCAACAGGTTTCATGCGTAGTATTTTTAGATTTAAATTTGGTGGCGGCGACAAAAAGAAAAGAAAAAAAAATTTGGGGGCCACAAACCAAGCTGTGCTTGGGGACGTGTGATGAAAATCTCAACCGAGCAAATGCAAGGAAAGGCC